CCCACACAGGGGTACCCCCCTTCCTCCTGTCTGGACAGAAGCCCACCCAGCCATCACTCCCTGCCCTGGGGTCCCTGGCCCCGCCCCCGCGTGGTCAGCACAGGCCTGGCCACTCCTGCCACACACAAGACGTCCCTCTGCCCTCGCCCACCCCTCACGTCCCTGCTCCTATCCCGGCTGCCCCTCCTCTCCTGGACCCCGGGACCCCCGGCCCCACGGACACCTTCCCACCGGGCCTCCCTCCAGACCCAGCGGCCTCTGGTGCCCACGGCCTCCACTGCTCCCAGGCCTGACCCCACCTGCCAGCAGCCCACGGCCACCCCTCCTCTCCAGCCTCCCTGGAGCACTTCTGTGCCTGCGACGCTCAGTGTCACGTGTGTGCTCTGGACACCCCGGGTCACTCAACTCCAGCCTCAAGCCCCACTGCCCCCACCCTCGGGTCCTCCCCCAAGCTTCCAGGGGCCTATAGCCCAACCTCTTCCCCGTGTCCCCGTGTCCCCCGTGCTCCCGACCCCCACGGGGTCCCCATCTCACTATTTTGGCCACATAACACCTGCTCCAGTCCCTGTACTCAGTTCTCTCTCCCGGAGCCCCTGGCAGACCCCGACGGACACTGCGGACCCCAGGCCGACCCCCCCTGGCTGTCTGGCCAAGCCACAGGGAGGGGATTCTGGGTGCTGTAAGGGGAAACGAAGTCGCTATACTGGAGAGGTCTGGGGGGCCGGGCAAGCGGGTTTTCTTACTGGTGGGCCTCCCAGAGCGACGGGCCTGTGACCACAGGACCTGGTGGCACTTTCATGGGGACCAGCCAGTCCAGGGACTCGGCTGGAAAGTGGGAGCCAGAATCAGGAGTCCTGGGACTCGCTGCCGGGGCCTCCGCTCGCCAACAGGACGCCCCAAGGGAAGACTCGTGCCTTCCCTGGGCCTCAGCGTCTTCGTCTACAAGATGGGAACTTGGCCCTGGACAACGGATGACGAGTGCTCTGAAAAGTGGCGGATGGCTGTCCCGGCCTGGAGCCTGCACCTGCCTCAGGCCTCCGTCCCACCTACCTCCTGACAAAGGAGACTCAGGGACACCATCCAGTCCATGACAGACACGACCAGCACCGCGAGGTAGCCCAGCAGCCAGAGGTCCTTCCGGAAATGAGCCCACCCAAACAGGTAGCCCTGCAAGTGACAGAGGTGAGCCAGCGGGCCACCCAGCGGCCAGCCTGAGCCCAGGGCAGGGGCACAGAGCAGCAGGGCGGCCGCGGGGGAGCCGTCCTCCAGCAGGGGTCCCCCAGGGCCCGGCCAAGCCTGGGAGACTCGCTGTGTGACCTCAGGCGTGGCACTGAACCTCTCACCAGCAACGGCAGACCCTGGCAGACCCTGACAGACGCTGTTCCTGCCTGTTCTGCCCACCCACCCAACCACCCTGTGCAGCCACGGAGAAGGCACGGAGCACATTCTGGAAAAGACTAACACAAGTCTGAGCTCAGCAGGCGGGCCTCGGCCACTGCGGGGAGGCGGCGGGGAGGGTGGGATCCGGCCCGCCTCTTCCTCACCTGGCAGCCACTTCCTGACTATCAAGGGAGCCCAGAGGCCCGGCCTGCAGGTGCGCCCCCACCTTGCGAGACTCCCCAGGGCACGAAGCACTCAAAGCACGCGAGTGTCAGCCGCCCATCGGTTTCAGTTCCAGTTTAGAAAGCCCCAGCCCTGCTAACCGCATGATGGTCTAAAATGCTAAACCCAGAAACTGCCTGGGGCCTGCAGTCACGCCCACGCCACCCCTCATCAGCACACGGTCCAGGCCTCCCACAGGACCGCGGGGCAGCTGGGCACAGGCACCACGCAACAGTCATGTGAGCCCATGGCCCGGCCAAGGCCTGGCAGGGCTGAGGCTGCGGGAGGCCACAGCCCAAGTCACGCCTGACGCCTGAACTCGGGGCCACAGGGACCGCAGTGGGGAATCGTGTTTGGCAAAATAACAGAACACAGGGTTCACCGTGAGGCCCGGCCACCCTGCCCCTCCTTGATGGGCCTCAGAGACCAATGAGGAAGGCCAGCCCAGGCTTCGGAGGACTTGGGCACAGGCAGAACCCAGAGTTGGACACAGCCACTGTCGAGAAGGAGACCCCTTCTGCCCATGTCCAGCCACCCCTCTTCTCGGGGTGCAGGGCAGCCGTGGGAAGGAACCGCCAGCCCTTGAATGCTCGCTCGGGGTCCCTCCTCACAGCCATAGTGCCAGACCCTCGACTGTCCCCGGAGACTCAGTCTACATGGCAGAGGGAAGCTGGAGGCTGAGACTTGTCCGGGCAGCCCGGACCTTCACCCGGGGGTCGGAGGCAGGCGGGTGAAGGCGGCCGGCTCCAGGGGCCGAGAAAGACATGAGAAGCACAGGCAGGGCTGGGCGGCTGGGACAGCCAGAGCCCATGTGCGGGGCCCGAGGATGCCTCACCTTCACGGAGAGGTCGGCCACAAAGACCAGCAGGCAGAGCGCCTCGATGCTCTCGGTCAGGCCGCAGGGCAGCTCCGGGGGCGGGAGACGATAGCGCACGTCCGCCGTCCTCGTGAGCGACGACGGCGTCTCGATGAACGCCAGGAACAGGATCAAGAAAATGGTAAAGCCCAGGGACCTGGAAAGGGACAGACCCTGGCTAGGAGGCAAGATCCAGCAGGCCCTGGGCCAAGAGGCCAGTCGGCAGGACGGACTGCCCCGGCCAAGGGGCAGGGGCCACGGCCCGGGGGTGGACTCGTGGCTGAGGCACCACGGATCTGGCCTGCACCTCGGCCAGTGGCCGACCCAAGTGTTCTGGAAAGGAGGCCTGCTCCCCGGGGCCTCCCTCTAAGGCCGCTCCCTCCCAGGGAGGAGGAGGGGAGCCCGCCTGGACCCTGAGACCAGGTGTGGTCCCCCCTACGTAGGGCCAGCCCCCCCCCGCCCCCGGGCAAGCCTGCAGAGTCCACGTGGGCGCATCTCACCGCTGGCACAGGTTCGAGTAATACCGTCGATAAAGCCACACTGAGCCAGCATCCACGCGGTGGTTGATGGAGCGGTACTGGGGGGGAAGGGTACAGAGGCGTGAGCAGGTTCCCCTGGGTGCTGCGCACAGGGCATGCCCCAGGGCCCAGGCCCCAGGCCCCACCACACACGGCCACACCAGAGCACCCATCCCCTGCTCATGCCAGGGAGCCAGGCTGCGGGTCATGGGTGTGTCTCATGGACCAGACCCGCCCTGACCCGCAGGCTCAGGTGGCCACATGCTTCGAGATTTGCCCAGCAGACCAGAGCAACTCATGAGCCAGACCCGGGGACAGGCAGCTAAGCCCGCACTAGGAAAACTCGCCGAAGAGCAGCGTGTCCTGTCTGCCCACAAGGTGCCCCCAACTCTGCAAGGCCGGCCTCCCCACCCCCAGGCGTCTGTCCGTGCTCCGCAAGGCCCCCGCCCGGCCAGAGCAGGGTGCCCACCCAGGCCCCAGTGTGGTGGATCCAGGAAGCAAATGCTTGCGGGATGGGGAAGCCGGGTCCTCAGGGGCACGAGGGCAGCATGCCCAGGGACCCCACGCTCGCAGCTCTGAGCCCACAGTCCAGCGACGGGGCCGTGGCCCCAGGACGCCGAGGGATGGAGGGACAGGGGACACTCCTAGCCATTGGCGGCCATGCCCCAGGCCCAGCCACCAGACAGGTGCCACACACCTGGATCGCATCTTCAATGAAGACCACAGCCTGATCAATGCAGAGATCCCACCTGGCCACGGCACCTGTGGGCAGAGAGGACCCTTTGGGTGACCAAGTGGGGTCAGAAGGCCCACCCTCCAGGACAGTCATGATCGAGGGAAGGGGCTGGCTGCGATGCCCTCCACGCTGCCTGTAACAGGACACCTCCACCCGTGTGACTGCAGGTGCCAGGGGCCAGGCTGCACCGAGCACCGTGCCTGCCAGGCAGCGTCCGCTCTGGCGAAGAACCCGGGGGCACAGTCCCACGTGAAGCACACGCCTGGCGTGCCCCTGAGAAGCGACGCGTCCCACAGCCACCCAACACCACACGTGGGGTTCAGAGCCTGCGGCTGCCTCCTTCCCCATCACATGCGGTGTCACCGGTCACCTCCTCGGCTCCCAGCAGGTGCAGAGAGAAGCAGTATGGGAACGCGGAACCCTGCCAGGCCCGGTTCCCCCAGCATGCTCAGGCAAGGGGCTGCGGCCACCGCCCTCCTGCCCCGGCCCACCCCGGCCTCCTGGGTGGCTCAGCCAGGACGCAGCGCCCAGTGTCCTGTCCACCCTCCATCAATCAGACCACGGATTAACACCGACACGTAAAACTGGCACCCGGAACCTCAGGCTCTCGTGACCCTTCGCGAGAACTGCCCAGGCGCCAGCAGCCCCACCAAAATCACCCCGGCATCAGGCCGAGGGAACACACCAGCGCCCCAGGCCCCTGCCAGCACCCTCCTTGACAGAGGGTGGCCCCCACCTCACCAACCAAAGGCAAGGAGTGGCCTCCCGGGGAGCCGGGGCGAACGTGGCACGGGGCCTGACCAGGAGGGGACGTCGGGAAAAGCCAGTCTCAGCACCCCGCCCGCTCACATGCACCTCACCAGCCGGAGCAGCCAGGCACGCCAGTCAGTCCTGTGGGAGGCCTGGGTGCCCAACAGCCCCGCAGGCATGTGCCACCTCTGTGGCTTCACTGCTGAAGCTGCCCTTTGGCAGACGCCAAGGAAAGACGCCCGCACTTCCCTGCCCGGGAGAGGGTGCGGCCCAGGCAGCCCAGGGCCCGGGGCCCGCAGCCAGCACAGCCTCAGTGACGCAGAGGCCACGGCGGGAGGCCCAGGACGCAGCAGGGCCCATCCACCCACTCTGTCCACCTTGGGGGCCACTGCTCCTGCCCTTGGGTCGTGCTTGGAGCCCCAAGGCAGAGGTGGCCAGGCCCAGGACCTGGCTGGAGAGGTGGGAACCCGACAGAGGCAGGAGGCAGGACCCCATCCTGGCCCTGCCCCGGCTGGGTCACTGGGCACACGCTGTCCCTCAGCCGCAGTCTCCAGCATGCACCACCACGAGGCTTGCCCTGAGGACTCTCAGATGTCTTCCCGGAAGTCCTAAACGTGCCGGGGAAGTCCGTGCACAGAAGCCTCACTGTTCGCTGCCTGTGGTGTCTGCCCAGCCCAGGACAGCGTGGGGGAGGGGAGCAACAGCCACACGCAAAGCTGATCTGTCCAGTGAACACACGGACACCCGGGCGGGCCTGGAGGGCAGGCGCGCTGAGAGCCCCTGCATCACGCAGCTCCCCGGGAAGAGGCTGGGTGTCGACCGGGACAGCTCTGTCGACATAAGCGTCTAGGACAGGAAGACATGGCTGCTGGGGCCCCAGGGTCCGGCCCCAGGGTCTGGCCCCAGGATGGGGAGGGGGCTTACGTCCACCCAGGCGCCCTCCCAGGCCAAGGGTGGCAGCACCCTGGAACCGTCTGGCACTTGTGGTGGCCTCTCGCCTGGCCACTGGCGCTGGCTTGCGTAAGATTCTGGGTCTGGCCCCGAGCGTGTCTGCGTGCCTGCCGCCCTGCCCGGCACAGCCCGAGGGTCTTGTCACAGCTCTCCGAGTCACGTCCCAGCTGTCCACAGTCCTGCTACCGCGGCGCCCGCCCGGCCCAGCCAGACACCGCAGGGCCCTTGGCCCCCCGCCTCCCCCCAGTTCCCCCACTTGGGCTGCACCCGGCCCTGCCAAGGTCAAGCTCCCAAAGCCGCCAGGCCCCAGCCCCAGCCCCTGCACGGAGCGCCCACCCCCAGTGTGGGTCCCTGGGCAGCGCACCCTGCCCTGAGCTCCTTGCCCAGGTGGGAAGTCGCCTGTCCACACCCCCACAGAGCCCCCGGGGCAGGGGGCTTTTGCCTGGCCCAGCAGGCAGAGGGCAGAGGACAAGGAGGGCTCAGACGCCGAGTCCCAAGCATCGGCCTAGGCCAGACCCCTGAGCGGAGCTGGCCTCTGCTCCCAGCATCCCGGCCTCATCTCCCACTCCCCTGGGCTCCAGGCTCCGGCACGCACAACCGGTGGAAGACCCTGACCGGCAGGCATCCTGTGCGGCCCCGGGCAAGCTCTCGCCCTCTCTGTGCCCTGGCTCCTCAGCCCCCAGCCCCCAGCCCTCCCTCCACACCCTCTGCTCTGCAGCCCAGTCGCTGAGTCCTCGGACTTGCTCACAACCAGGAGGAGGGTGAGTTTCCGACCCAGGAGCAAGAGAAAAACCGCTGTCCTCCACCTCTGGCCGTGGCCCCATCAGGTGGGCTGAGTCAGAAGGTCCTGACTACAGGGCGTGCTGGGTCCCAGGGCGCCCGCAGCACCTGCTGGAAGGAGTCCCCCCGTGGGACCTGGGAAAATGGGGCTCACAGGGCCCCACCTCAGAGCCCGCACGGCACTGGCATGGGGCGCTGGTGGGGGGCACCCTGACAGGGAGTGGGGTGCACAAGCCGGGAGGGGGGCTGGCGGGGGAGGGGGCGCTGGCGGAGGGGTGCGGTGTCCTCGGGACGCTGGCGCGAGGGCTGGATGAATGGGCCTGAGTCTCCTCTGCTCCTGCGTCTATGCGCCTGGCCAAGGGGACTGGAACACAGAGCGTCCCATCCCTGTTCTTACAAGCCCTCGCTGAGGCCACAGCATGGGGACAGAGCGCTCCGGAGAATCCCTCTCGCCACCCGCACTGCCCGGCCCTTGGCAGAGGGGGTCTCATCCGCCAGGCGACCCCTGCCAGGGCTGAGACCTGCCGCCATCGGGGTCCTCCCCCCATCGGCGCCCCACATCTGCCCACCAGCCCGTGCTCAGGGCAGCCTCTGGACTCTCCACCCCCATGGGCAGCCCCTAATCCCACCTGCTTCTGTTGAGGCCCAGAAAAGTCAAGCGACCTGCCAAGGTCACACAGTCAGAAACCGGCAGCCCCAGAAAGGCCCCCAGACACAAAGTCTGTGTCCCCAGAACAAGGCCACATCCTACATGGAAGGGGGACCCCAAGAAACCTGGAATTATCTTTTAGAGGACGGGCCCCTTGTGGTACAGGCTTCCCCGCGAGGAAAGTGTTCCAGGAACCCACCTGCACCCGTGTCCCAGCTGGCATCGCTGCGTTTCGGAGGAAACACCCCAAGATGGAACAAACAGGTGACTGGTTCTTCCACCATGACCGCGCACCTGCTCACACCGTACTGAGTGTTCAGCAGTTTTTAACCAAAAACAGCATGACACCCCCCCACCCTCCCTATCCACCCGATCTCGCCCCTGAGCGATGAGGGAAGTCCTCAAATGGAGATGGTTTGCTGACGTGGAAGAGGTGAAACAAAGAACGGCAGAAGCACTAAAAAACATCCAAATGGACGAGTTCAAAAACTGTTTCGAGCAGTGGAAAAAGCGTCTCCATAGGTGTGCTGCACCCAGCCAAGAGGACTTTGAAGGAGCCCGAAGTTTAAACACGTAAGACTAAATACAGTTTTGTATAAATAAGATCCAGGGGGTTTTTGGTCCCCCCACGAAAGGACATAACACGGATTTAATCTACCCAATGAGCAGCCATTTCAACACTGCCTAAAACTCATGTTTTTCTAGTGGTTCTCTTAACTAACGCTCTGATCATCAGCCAAGGACAGAACCGGTTTCTCAGAGGTAGCTATGGCTAATCCCCCTCCTCAGCTTGTGTTGTACTGATTTGTACTGATTAGCTCTTCTATCTCAAGTATTTGCCTCCACCCCAAGACCCGAGTTAACCTGATCAAGACCAGACCATGGCAGCAGGCATGTGACTAACCCACCTATCCTCCTGCTGTCTATCACCCGATGTCACGACCTTCCCCCATCAAAGGGAAAGGTTCAGAGGACTCAACCGTGAGCAACCAGCCGCCATTGCCTTGCTATGGTGTGGCCATGTTTTCTTAAGCTTTGGTCCCTTCCCCTACCTTGGGGAGGTGATAATCTCCTCTCATTTACTTTCTAAATAAACTATATTTCCTGTTTTGTTTTGTTTTTTTGAGTCGGAGTCTCACTCCGTCGCCCAGGCTGGCACGCTCACGGCCACCCCAGCGTCGACCTGCTGGGCTCCGGTGATCCTGCCACCTCAGCCTTCCAAGTAGCCAGAACTACAGGCACGTGCTACCATGCCCGGTTGCTTTTGATTTATTGTAGAGGTGAGGTCTCACCAAGTTACCTGAGCCGGGCTTGAACCTGGGAGGTAAGGCAGTCCAAAAGTGCTGGGAATACAGACCGAGCCACCGAGCCTGGCCTTCCAAGTACCTCAAACTACAGGTGTATGACACCACATCCAGTTAATTTTATATTTATTGTAGAGACGAGGTCTTGCCAAGTTGCCCACGCTGGTTTCGAACCCCTGGGCTCGGGCAGTCCTCTCGCCTCAACCTCCCAAAGTGCTGGGATGACAGGCATGAGTCACCACACACGGCCCTCGACTATATTTTCTAATCTAACTCCTGCGCAATTCTTTGCATCTTTCATGTGACACCAGATCACAGACACCAGACACCCACACCCCCGGCGGGCCTGAGTAACATACTGGAGGCCCCGTTGGGAGTGTGACCCTAACACTTTTGGAGGTCCCAACACCTCATATCCGGTCAAGGGACCTGCAAGACCCAGTCCCTGCAGACCTCGTTCCTGACTGGTCCCAGAAGCAATTTCCTGGGGGCAGACAGGAAATTGGCCTCAGGGGCGTCAGGGATCCTTTGGTGGCCCCTGTTATTCCAGGGACAGGCACACGCCACAGACCAGTGGGTAGGGGGCCACGGTCCCAACCCACGCCCCTCCTGGACAGAGGCGGAAAGAGACATCCACAGGGGAAAGTGGCCAGGCACGAGCACCCAGAGAGGTTCTAAGCAGAACGGGGTGCGGGTCTGGGGCCAGACTCTCCAGGTCTCAGTCTCCTCATCTGTAAAATGAAGCTGAGGTCCTTGGGCCTGGAACTCGGCACCTGGTCCCCCCGGTGTGGGCCAGGAACCGCCAGACCCCACCCTCCCGGGGATTCAGCAGTCCTCAGTAAACAGGAAGGGCAGGAGGAAGGTGGGGAAAGGGCTCCGGGAGGCAGAGGGCAAAGGGAGGAAGCTGCCCTAGCCTGGGAGGCCTGCCCCAGCTCCACCGGAAGTGGGACCGGCAAGACGCCGCGGAAAGAACCAACTCGCCCCTGCTGGGTTCGAATTCCACTCGGTCACTTAACTGCTGGGTGACCTTGGGTGGGGTGATGCCCCTCTCTGAGCCTCAGCTGTCCCCGCAAGAGACGGCAATAAACCAAGTGCAGGCTCCTCGGGGTCATGAAGGCACCCCT